GAGGAGGTAGTGGGCTGCCCAACAGCGGAAGACCTGCCATGGGTCTCAAGTTTATTGTAGATGCCAACCTGTGCTTGGATGCAGAATGCAGGGGGCCTTGAAGTGAGAGTCGGCGATGACGAGGTGGGAGAAGTGCTTCTCTAGTGAAGCCAAGTGTCCTTGCCACAGAATTCGGATGAGGGGTGTGCTCCTTCACTCGGCGATTACAATTAGAACGGATCTTGGTGTCCACTGCAAAGGCCAACGAAATTCTAACCTGCGGTGACAGCCCGGCAAGCAGCTCATCATGGCATTGAACTTGTTCATCTCACACAGGGCGGGCTGATCGTTGAATATCTTGGGCTCTCGACAATCGCATACCTCATCCAAGGGGAATTTTTTGGTGATGGGAGCCGGCAAACCCATCGACTGCCCGGTCGGTCTCCTGGTGTCGATCCCAGTCCAAACACAGGCCAAGGAACCGGATAGGGCACGCCACTGGCAGAATCCTTCCCGTGCCACCTAAGACTGCGGCAGGCAAGATCGCCAAGGGCACCTGCCTATCTTCGGAGTCCTAGAACTGATCAGTGCAAGCCACCTCTGCTGAGCTGTCTCTGAGGATGACTGGCTGAAGCCGTGACAGATGCATGCCTCGGAAAGGGGGTGATCCTGCAACCCTCCGCGGCCGAATCTGCCAAAACACAACCAATGATTCTTCGCTCTCAATATGATGCTTAGAAAGTTGGCGTCTGGAGTCCGAATCCGAATCCACCTTTGAACCTTCAAGACATGTCGGGCTGCGTGCTGGTTAATGGAAAAAGCGCACACCTCAGCTCCACAAACTCACAAAATGCGGGCAATTCCTCCATGGCCGGTCGTTTCGAGATCGGGAGCAGAGTTTCGATTGTGACGAGTATGCCGCTTGAGGATCAGACAACACTATGACAAACAGGGCGTTTCCAGGCATTCCGCAATCAATCGTATGCGGGGCTTGGAGGCACCATGACATCGACAGTGCAACCGCTAAACGGGACCCCATACTTACGGACTCACTGTATACTTTCGAAGTTTCATTCAAACCAACACACGCCGGTATCATAGTCAGGACTCAACGCTCTTGAAGACAGGGGCTGCGTGGACTCTGGACATCCGTGCAACGCCCGAAACCCTGCTGAAAATACCCGTCACACTCAAGCCGTCGGTTAAAGCCCTTCACACCCAAACCAATATAGCTTCCAGAAGTCCCAGGTACCCAGTACGCAGTCTTCGGGGCTTGCTGGAGCAGTGCTGCAAGCTCCTTCAAGCTGTATTTAGACACAGTGGTTTGCGCAGACCGCATTGGGAAAGCAACTCGATGCTTGCATGGTACGTTTTCGTCGCCTTCTCTCGAGGCGTCTAGGCAGCTCTGCAACAAGCGGCGGGTATCGACAGGTGTTAATAAACTGCATGTGCTTTTCTCCATGCACCTATTGGAGACCCGCTTGGGTGGTCTGCTGTCCCCATGCCTGCAGGCTCCCGTGCGAGCGCGAGCCCCATGTCACCCGAAAGTTGAGAAAATTTGCCGAATCTCGAGGGCCCGTTCCAGCAGCACACCCTACTTCCTCGTGTTATTCCTTCGAACTTATGCATGCAAGATAGACAAGAGCCGACGGGTGAAATTGCAAATATCCAGCAGCATAGCCTAACTGCACAGCTTCCTCAACTCCGGGGGGAGACAGAAGCTTTGCAGCCACTGCATCGTAATACGACCTGAGCTCGCAGCAGCCTATAGTGCAAGAAGATTTGCAAGCCGTCGAACGCAGAACTCGCAACCTTGTCTGCAAGCGATATGAACTTCGCGAGCGGGGCCGTGGCACAGCGAGCTAACTTCCCGCTAAGAGACTCGCCCAGCGCATCTGCAAGGATTCCTGCTACGAGGTGCAGGAAGAGGTTGGACCAATTGTGGGTGACCATGCCTGAGCCCAGCGAGAGTAGAGATGCCGGCTACACAGGCACCATGCACCCTCCGCAAGCATCCGGAAGCAGAGTTTTGGGCGTCGGACAGAAAGGTAACTCGGATTGCAGATCCGGTGCTAGATCTGGGGAACGAATTATTTCTTCGCGTTTCTGCACACTCCCCCACGGTTCATAGGACAGCACCGGGCCGAATCCGACACCCGTCAAGCCGATAAACCCTCAAAGTTTCGGAACAATCATGGAGTACTTAGGACATGTCAACGCGTGCACATGTGGACCCTTTGCAGATTGGCGGCACTTCGCGCGAAGTCTTTGCCCGCCAGACCAGACCGAGGCCAGTGATTGGCCGCCGCTACCACCTCGGGGCACCAGTCTACGGAAGTTATACCTACTACCTTGCCTCGGCTTACCGAATGCATCGAGGCAATTGACAGCACGCATGGTTTTGGCTGATGTGTCTGCTAGCAGTGGCGGGTGACGGTAGGTGTCAGGTGGCCGTCCGCATGTGTAACGGTCGCTCTGAAGTGGGCATGCGGTCATTTACGGCCACTTCGTAGCTTGGATGCACCACACGCAGCCTGTCAGAAGGATTCGGTGTCTCCAAATTTGTCACGTGTATCACTTGTCGAAATATCCAATACTGCAGATGAATCGTCGTTTGTTGGCATGGATGTCGATTCAGCGTGACGATGCAAAAGCTACATGCCTTGCGGTGCGGCAACAATGGCGATCGGATGTATAGAGAGCTTGAACCCGGCAGGCATGTAAATGGTTTGCAGACTCCGGAAGTGTGGTGGTTGAATACTGCTTGGTCGTTGCTGAGATCAAGAAAGTCACGAAAACGGTTGATTCGTGCGTACATGTTTGAGCCATCGTCCTATGTATCGATTGAATTGTAGAACACATCCTATGTGGATGGGTTCAGCCCCTGTCAGATAGCGTGCCGAATGCCCCCTCTTGTGGAGCAGCATTCAAGAGTACCCGAGAGAGTGTGCATAAGCATTAAACACTGATCCACCGCTTCGTAGAGTTTCGGTTGTCGAAAGTTCGATTTGCGGGCGGGCTGTTGCTGGACATGTTTTATGAAGGCCAGGCTCTGAATGAACTTGTAACAGACTTCTAATTCGCAACGTGTCAAGCCTTTCCTGGGTACCGCATTTCTGTTTACAGCAGAAACATGGTTCGAACATCTTCTAGCATTCTAGCACGTTTTATGTCTGTATTCTCCCACTGGCTGGTTACCCCTCGCTTTGGCAAGCAACAATCACACATCCGTGCCTTCGGATCGCGAGAGAGGAATGATGGCCATGTGAACAACATCGTTCGTCGTGGAACGCGCAGGGTCGAACGAAGGCATTACCTCGGAGACTGACATAATTAGTAATTTCATGATCCCAGACGCTCATTATTCCCCGAGAAAAAGATGCCAATGAGATTTTGTGCTTGCAAAGCCGGTCAACTGCAAACTGTCAGCAACTGCTAAGCTGCTCAACTCGGCATGGCTCATCTCTCCTCCTCCCTACACAGCACCACCGCAAGGCAATCGAACTTCTCATGCGCCCAGAAAACACACCGGCCGTGCCTTCGGAAGCTCCCCCCAGAATCGAAGCAGAGATTCCAGGCCTGGGATGCTGCACGCTTCGGGTAAGGCAGGTTGCAGAGCTTGGGCGCCTGGGTCCCCCCCTGGCCGGCACTAGGACGGCCAGGATTTCGCTGTCAAACACGCTGGGAGGTTAGCATGTATTGGATATAAATGCTTCTGACGCGCTCCCACATAGACTCCCACACAAACCCGGCACCCAGTCGGTTCAATGGCCCTTACAAATGGCGAAGCGGCTGATGGCACGGTGGGCGAGCTCGTCTACCTCCCAGCTGGGTTTACAAACACCTGCTCTAACTAACGCCTGTTTCCTCTTGGTAGACCGAGAGCCCCGTGAGAGAGGGTACACTATACATGCCGGCATGTCCTGGCATGGTGGGTTTGCTTAGAATCTCATAGTTGGGTTGAGGGAAATGAGCTGGAAGGCATGAAAGGAACGGTGTCTGGCTTCAGGAGAGTCGACTCCAACCGTATGGGATCTTCCATTACTCATCGCGCGCATGCGTTTCTGAAGCCTTCTGTTACCCCTTTGCTTGTGCCGAATCCCCTTGAAGGTTGTTTGCATGTTCGCGTCATCTTTGCGGACGGCCTCTCATTGCGCGACAACTCCCTCTACTCTTCGGGGCCTTCTGCGACCAGATTTCTGCATCTCCTTGCTGCGGACCGTGTATCTGGATGTGCCTTTGCGGCAGTTCTTGATGGAGCAGCATTTAGCAGTCAATGCTCGGACTGTTTGCAGAGGCACGGCACAGGCTTGAGCACACAGCTGACCCAGATCGCCTAGATCATCACTCAGGCCAAGGACGGTGAGCTTCGCCGCTGGTGGCACTGCAACAGAAGCAATAGACCCAAGGGCAGGTCGCCATATAGTCCACGATTCTCAAAGCATAAAACCAAACCCCAAAATATGGCGGGAATCTCCGAGGGTGCTGTTCGGGCAGCCGAAAGACCCGAAGCCAAAATCGGTGCGATTCCAAGCTGCAGATTGCTCGTCGGCGCCGTCTGTGGAGCCTGGCACACCCCCATGCAATTTCAATCATGTTGATGCCTGCGTACAAGCATGGATCGAGACCTTCCACGGTACGCAACCATGAACATGGAATGGGGTGCACAAACGGACGCCTGCTCGGAGGGCACACACAACCCGGGGGAGCTTCCTGGACCGTCCTTTGCTCATCTCCGAAAGAGGCTGGCCAGCAAAAGCCGTCGAAACACCGTGTCCTGTTGTAGTTACGCGGAGCTCGGGCCTGTCCCATTTGGCTCCCTTTTGGGTCATGATACGGGCCGCAAATTAGGGACAGCGGAATGCCACCCAGAAAGACATAAACATAGTAGGGACTATAGTAAACACAAGCTGGAACGAACAAAACTGTGCAGCGGAACGTAGGGCCAGAATTCATGAGGGACAAACCAAAAGAGGCAGGAATGTAGTCGAACATTAAAGGCCGAACATCGGAACGAAAATAAACCAGAATGAACAAATAAAGCTGGAACGCAGCGTACTTCCAAGACTGCTTCCAAAGACCTGTTAAGATATTCAGCCCCTTAAGAGGATCAGCCCGAAGCTATCTTGTAGATGCAGCCGGACCCTCTGCCGGTTTTCCGATTCATGACTGCAGTCTTCCGTGCGGTTCGATGTATTCAAGGCTTTCAAGACCGGATTCTCTTGGCAGGGCCGCTCCCGGCATAGATGATTTTAAGGGAGGAGGCGAGGAGGGAGAGAGGCTTCCCGGCCTGAACATGCCAAAGCAATCCGCTGAGAGTAGCTGCCGAAGCAGCCTTGACCAGCATGTTGAGTCCTTTCTGCGAAGATTGCAGGGCGCTGCGGTCACCCTAAGGCTTTGAACCTGTTTCGATTCGGGTACAGTACGGCTTGGCTGGCACAAAGCAGTTCACAGGGCTTTACTGTTCACAGCAGCAGTTGCAAGCAGTGCTTGCGACAAATGCCTGACTCCTCGCTGTCGAACTGAGGTGCTTTGGGAAGGAAGGGCGTAATTTAGCGATCGTGGCTGTTGTCCGGGGATACATCCAAGCAGAGCATGTGGGGCACGTGAGGAATTGCATGTCTGGCGGCTGTGTGCGACGATCATGGGGACGAGGAGTACGCTGTCTGCTGTCTGTTGTCCAGCGCCCCAAAGGAGAACTTGGTGGGGTATCCACCAGAGCGTCGTGCAGGTGAAGGTAAGGCACGTGCATGCGGCCAACTCGAACTTCAGGACCTGCAGAATGCAAAGCGAGCCCGACACGCTTCAGAGCAGACCGCACTTTGACAGGCAGGATGCAGACAAGCATCACAGAAGCAAACCTACAAAACTGCACCCGGTACTCGAGACAGGATAGAATGCCGCAGATCCCAGGGCCCGCGTGCGAAGCCAGAACACTTCTTGGAAACCTGCGGGAGTACGAGCCTTGTTGGCCCATTGCGCTTCGGCCTGCGGCGCACCGGTCACCTGCACGCATGGTGGAGACTCAAAGGCTTGGTACCATCAGAGGGTTTAGGGTTTAGGGCTTAAATCACTGCGACTGCTGGGAAGAACTGTACGGTCAATGCTGAAGAGCCCTCGGTCAACGAACACCTCCGAAGTGCCTGCCTTCCGAGCTTCCTTCTGCACGACCCTCAAGCTCTTGGCTAAGCATGCCATTGTTCGCAAGCAGATGGCCATCCAGATAGTCACAAAGGCCTGGGTGACTGCACACTTCAACCCAAGATGCGATTCAAACATGAACACCTGTACTGTACATCCCGACTAAAGACGAGGATAGGAGCACTCCTGCAGTGCTTTCCGGATCTTCCCTCCTCCCTACGAGAAGAACATGGATGGATCTGAAGCTTGCTACTGCACCAAAGCAGCCACAGCAAAAACCAGCTGCATCAGGAAGGACATCGGCGTAGAATCGAAAAACGTCTCTGTGACGACTCTCGCGTGGAAGCAGATGGTCGCCATGTTTACCAGTCCTGGTTCATGGGCCAAGCATCTTTCTGCTTCAGCTGGGGGACTCGGAAACATGCACTAAATGATAGAGGTCTCGAGGCTTAAGTCGCGAAGAAAACATCGTGGCGTGGACAGTCTTACGACTGCAACTTGAACAAAGACCGGGGGAAACTGCATCCTGCATCTGTGCATCAATCGCAGCCCATGCGGCATGTCTCATTCCCGATCAAGTGGCTTAGCACCGTCAGGTGATGCTGGTCTGAGACGGCTTACGTAAGGCAAGGGCTGTGGTGATCGGCTACACCTCAACAGAGTTATTCTAAAGCATTCTAAAACCTTGGTAGGTACGACCACACCTTGACAGACCTTGGCTCCTTGTTTCGGGATACTGAGCCTTTGCCACATCTGCACCTGCTCTCCGGAGTGGTGACCGGTACTTATCTTTGACCTGTTCGAACATGGCTAGGCCTCGGCCTATACTTTCCAGTCTGCAAAGGAGGAGGTATCAGTACTCGGAGTTGAGCCGGGTATCTTCAATCCACAACACAGCCTCGGCAATGGGCAAACGCTTTAAACTGCCGAGGCTCTATTCGGATGTGCAATGCCCAGGGACGAACGCCTGTCCAGCGCAACAATTCGACCCACCATCAACCAGGCTGTCCACTTGAAAACCTCAGTGAAGTCTTGGGGCAAAGCAGGTCAGACGCTACGTCCTGGAATTGCCTTGGCGTACGCCACTTCGCCAAACCCGACTCTTTGCTAATTAGCTTTTGTCCCCCTCGCATGGCAGAAAGCAAAACTCACAAGCGAGGTGGATTAGGGACTGATTAGGGCTGTGGGTCTCTAGGCTCACCTCACTAGAAAGTTGTGGCAGGGAGCTCCAATGCCTAAGACAGATGGCTTCAGCGATACGATTGTCGCACTTCAGAGCTGCAAGTGCTTTGGAGGTCTAGTCAAATCTGTGCTTGGACTTGCGCCCTCATGAATCACACCAGGCAAGAGGGGAAAGTGCTGCCAAAGGCCAGCAAGGAGCGGTTCCCTCAAGGTGCCATGCCAGGTGTTGCAGTATGGTCTGGTAGTCCGAAGGAACCATGCCTCAGGTCGGAGCTGAGTGCCTAAACGATGTTGAAACAGATCATCCCTGAGGGCCTCAGGGATACTTCAAACCTGCCTGGAGATGTGGCCAATGTTATGCTCCGTCAAAATACTTTAGCCTGCTAATCGCTGCACCCGGAGGACGAGGACGGTGTGCATCGGGGCGATACGGTGGAACTGGAGATCTAACCCTAGCCCTCCAGGTTACTATAGAGGGTACTAGGGCCCCTAGGGCACCTCTATAGTAGGTACCTGGAAGGTTAGGGTAAGTCTCTCAACTTCGCCCAGGCGCTGACTGCTGTCAGGCTCACGACGATCATCCAGATGCCGCAGATTGCCCAAACGGCATGCCGGACGTAGGTTGATGGAGGATGCCGCAGGGACACGCACACAGAGGCTATACAAGTGCTTCCTCAGAGGGCTGGACTGCAGCAGACAAGTAGTTTTTGCCATGGGACGAACAACGGCTTAAAATTGCAGCTGACGCACCGAAACATGCAACGGAGTCCACCACCTGTAGCCAATCTCTGCTCTGCACGGGCAGAAAGTTGTACCACTCGATAAAAGGCAGCCACGGCAGGACGTGCAAAGAGCCAACCTGACACCCGATTCGGAAGGACGTTGAACATCTTATTGCGTAGACCGTGCTAGCAAGTCTGTAAGTAAGAAGTCGGTGACATCAATCGTAAGTGAGTAAGTCCTGGTGCACTGCTTCATCAAAGTGGCAGCCACAACTGCCACTGCACTCAACCATCGCCAAAGATTGCGCGGTGGTGCCTGCCTGGCCAAAGCAAGAAACCAGTGACCATGCAACTGGTATGCATGTATGAATATTGACAAAGAACAAGGGCACCCTGCGCGTATCTGTTGCATGGAGCAAGGGCGCTTTTGCCAATCGCAGGTTTCGGTCTCACATTGTGGTCAAGACCGCGATCCCGAATCGGCAACTGAGTCTGGATTCTATGCTCATTCGTAAAATGTTCCGGTGGCTTAGCCAAGAAGTACAGTACATACAACTAACAAATCAGGGATTGCAGTCATGTGCAGCAGGAGCGGAAGGCAAGGAACATCCAAAGTTTCAAATTTGAGCCTGATAAGTGGCCGCAGAGCACAGTGTCAGGCAACTAGTTGAATCTTGCTGAATGCCTTGAGTCCACAGCGGTGAAAATACTTTGGTCACCGGCATGCGAAGATCAGCTGAAGGCGGCGCTCAGCCAAACAAGCAGCAAGGCAGCAAGGGGACCAGCGAAGCTGCGAGCTGCGTTGACAGGTTCGGGGGTCTGGCTTCCCAGGACCGACTGTCTGGTTAGGACCAGGAACCTTGGGAGCACCGAAGCTTTGACAGCTGTGGGAAAGATACTCCGTACAGTGTACATCCAGGTCCATGCTTGCATACATACGTATACAACTACCTCTCCATGCATGCATGCATGCATACGTTGATCCAGCTTCCTTCATTCCGGAATGACCTTCTTCGTGAACAAAGTGTGTCCAACAACACCTTCGGGGAAGTTTCGCGGAGGCCTATTTTTAGAACTTTGGAATTTACAAGGCCCAAGTCATGAAAAACTCTTCGACGGGCTTCTTTGTGGCCGTTGACCTCTTTCTCACGGCTTCTTGGAACTTTTACAGGCTTCGTATGTAAGGGCTGTTCAAAGACTTCCTACGGTGTGCTACGGATTTCTTGAGGCATGTTTTTGGGCTTCGCAAGGTTGTCAAGGGCTTCTCACGGGTTCCTTAAGAACTACTTGTCGCAGCTCAATGCACGTATGCAAATGTATGCAATGAAGCTTTGCCTGAATCTGGCCATGGGAATTTGAACGACGCTCGCGCGGAATTTCCGAGCTACTCGCTGAAGCGGTGCCTGATTTCGCCGCCTCAATAGAACTAGTCGAAGTCAAGGAAGCCGTGTAGAAGTGGTGGTCGTACGTAGTTGTTGTTGTAGCAGCAGCAGCAGCAGCAGCAGCAGCAGCAACTACAGTAGCAGTGACAGTAGCAGTAGGAGTGGCTATAGGAGGGCAGAAACAGTAGGAGAATAATTTAGCAGTAGCAGAAGCATCAGGGTGATAATGCCAACACTAAAAATCATGACAACAATAATCTATGCTGTCTCTGTCTGTTTGTCTGTCGGTCTGTGTGTCTGTGTGCCTGTTCGTCTGTCTGTCTGGCCGGCTCTCCACGTATGCATGTATGTAGGCCTAGATGTGCGTGTGACATGCATGTGCATGTATGTGTATTCACATTTATGTGTGCATATGTGCATTCGCCGTAGGCCCAAAATGCATGTATGTATGCATGCATGTATGTGTGACGTATGTGCGTGTGTGTGCGTGCATTCATGCGCGCATGTATGAAACCAATGCCATGCATGCACTGCATGCATGTATGCAAATTGCATTCAGAAGCTGGTTTCATCTGAGCCAAGAAGCAAATCTGGTTTGAAAGACATGGTCTTGTTGAAAGTCGCGATAAGCTCTGCCTCAGACCTCGTGGTCGGGGGGCAGATGCCAGTAATCGGGTCCGGATCGATGCCATCGCCGGTGATCTGCGTGAAGGTCACCTTCAGGGGTGGGACGAACTGGTTCGGAATGAAGCCTGTCGCTGCCAAGTCATCCCTGTTGAAACCTCGGTTTTGTCAATGTGAGAGTAGCGAGCCTAGATAGCCTAGCAGCAAGAACTTCATCCAACTGTCAAGAGCCAAGCTGCTTTCTCGCGTGGTGTACCTGCAGCCGGCTGCTGTCCTGCATGAGCGAGCGGACGGGCAATAGCTGGGGCCGTACAGGTGGAAGCACTGCTGGCATTCCATGAAATCCCCGTACCGACTGCCCTGCGCGTTGACAATGCAGTAGTCCGGGTTGCGGAAGTCGGAAAAGCGACGGCGGCTGAAGCTGTCATAGCTGTAGGCATCACCGTACATGCTGTTGTAAGCGTACATTGCCCCAGCACCGACCACAAAGCCCCCTGCTGCATACATGGCAACATTGGCGTTGTTGTTAGGAGGGTACGCGTTGTAGCCTGAATAGCCGTAGGGAGTTTGATAGGGCATGGTGCCCCCGTAGTTGTTCATGAGCATGGGACGGCTGTTGTAGCCGTAGGGCACCCCTGATCCTGCAGTGTAGACGTTTCCGTCCATGCTGGTGGTGCGGCGCCGGCTGTTCAAAGGCGTTGGGACCGGGGGCGGGGGCGCACGACGGCGCACGTCGCGACGGCGGGGCGAAATGGGAGCTCGTCTCCTTGGGCTCCAGAAGCTCGGTGCAGAGCTTGACCGGCGGCGTGGGGAGGTGGCGGTAGCGGATGGGGAGCGGCGCCGGGGGCTCGAGGAGAAGAAGGAGCGCCTCGAGCTGGAGAAGGAGCCTCCACGGCGACGACCGGAAAGCTGCCGGCCTGCTTGGGACTCTCCCAGCCGACGGGTTGCATCACAAGTGTCTGTGGACTCGTTGTATGTGGCGGGAGGGTCGTCACAAGTCTCATAGCTGAAATAGTAGCCGATACCTAGCCACGACTTTTTTGCAATAGGGCACTCCAAATTCACGTAGCACCAAGAATCGCAGCACCATTCATGATCGCTCGAAGTGTTCCAGCCGGAATCTGGATCAGAACCCCACACTTGGTAGCAATTGGTCTTGTCCCAATCGCTGCATGAGCTACCATAATCAGCAGCGAAGCTGTCCGGAAGCGACCCACTGGGTAATTGACCTCGACACGCGCAAGCATCTAAGTTGTACTTGCAGCCGGAGATGACGTCTGGGACGAGGTCACACCTCTCTGAGCTCCAGAACCGGCCGGCCCAGACTGTTGATGCACGGCTCGTCGGACAAGTTGGGTCTACCCAGCACCAAGACGTGCAACACCACATGTCATGTTGGGCATTCGGGTACAAGACCTCGCAGTTCCAAGCATCATGTGGACCACATTGCTGGCCGTAGTCTGCATAGTCGCTCACATTCAACCCCAAACCTTCAATGATGCTGGCAGGCATGGAAATGTTCAGGCAATCGCAGCGTGTGTCATCCGCAGAAACGTTTGGCTGCGGCTTGTACGGGCACTGTGCAACAAGGGCAGCATCGTCCTCACACACGTTTTCGGACCAAAACAAGATGCCTTCCATCCCGGCGTTCAGGGATTGAATGGCACTTGGGCACTCCTTGTCCACATAGCACCAACTCGCACAGCACCAGGTGTCCACCTGATCCGGACGGTAGTTCTCAGCACAGTTCTGGACATCCCAGCTCCCACACGTCGAGCCGTAAATGGGCTCAAACTTGGCTTTCATATCGTCGCTGAACAGAGAGCCGGCATTCCTGCACTTGCAAGGATCATTTTGCTCCCGCACTTCCTCCCATGTGCATGGAGTAACTGGGTCCCACGAGTTGCACGCAGCATAGCTGAAGAACTGGCCCGGCAATAACGAGCTGGAGTAGGCATCAGGACAGTCTACGCTGGCATAGCACCTTAAAGGAGATGGTCGCAAGTTCTCTGCTGCGATGCAAACTTACTGAAACGAGCTACCGTCCCCAAGCTTGCAGACAGCCCTACACATCCCAACCTCTGACAATAGATCTGCCCCTACCATGGTGGAAACAGACGGTTGCTTGGCGGCAAGGCTCCATGGGCGGCAGCACCAACCACCGACAGACACATTGCCCCACCACTCGTCACATTTCGCATTATCCCATGCTTGGCATTGCCTTCCATAGTTCCTTGCTTGGGTTGTTAGCTGTCCTACAGGGCTTGGCTGCTGCAAATACCTGTCAGAGGTTTGTTGCCACAAAGAACCCACCAAGGCACAACAAGCAGCAAGAATGCCCTCCAATCAGCTTATTATGCAAACAACCTTTGCTTCGGATGGTTTCGCCCCCTGAATCTGCGGTAACCTTACATATAGAAGCAGAAGCCACAATGACAAAACCCTGCTATGTAGGCAAAGCTTCTGCCCGTAGGTGCCTTGAACTTCAGGCGGGATGGTTGGACTCGTACCTGGGCACACAACTTCGACGCACAAAAAACACTGGTGGCACCGGCGCATCATTCACAGAAGATGAGGGCAGAAAACTAGTTTGTTGGACGGCCGTATTCAAACTTTGGACTTCATGTGCGATGTCCTTCCAGCTACCGTTGAACTCATCAGCCTGCGGAGTTCAGGATGCATCAGTGCTCGTCGACAACCCATTCGACTTTAAAAGGGAGATGTCGATCTACCTGTGCATAAAACACATTGTGGAAATTATGGCAAGCTGTACCAGAGATGGGCAAGGTCCTGAAATAGTGCTTCTTGCTTCGCGGTGGTGGGGGCCGTTCCCCCTGTCTTTGTTGCACCGACTTCCCCTAAAACCCTAACAGGGGGGACCCTTGCGGCAGAATCCTTGACCGGACCCAAAAAGAGCGAGAAGGAGAGCGAGAGCGAGAGAGAGAGATAGAGCAATTAAACAAACAGGTGTTCTCGCACTATGACCTGGAAACAAACGGGCCTCATCAAATAGATTGGCTGATGATTGGCTTTACTGGATTGACCGATGCTTCTCGCTGCGGAGCATGTACGTGCAACACAAACAAGGAGGCGCAGGAATTGCACAACTTCGGTGCTAAACCTGCCGCCAACTTCGGTTCCAACGACGACGAGGCGGCATCTCCAGGCACGACCGAGCTCCGGATACGTGTTGCTGCGCTTGCGCCGGGCCGCCACATTGACTGCGCTGCCGGGCTGCACATCAGCGCGGAGGTGACACATTTGCTAACTGAGACCCATGCCACTGCGGCAGGCCGTTGGCAACGACCACGATGCGCCGTGCATCAACGACTGGCACATCGAGGTTCATGTCGGCCAACCGGACGTTACGGGCGACCCGCGCGCCGGCTTCCCGGCAGACGCGCGCGACAGCATGCTCGAGAGGCAAGTCGTGTGCCGACGGTATACCCCGGAGGTGGCGCAGGCGGCACGATGGTTGCCCAGGGAATCGAGCTGCCTGTGGCAGGCGCACCTGCACGGCGCGAGCAGCAAAGGATGTGCAAGCGCATCCTGAGCACGCGGAACCAGGCTGGGATCGTACGTCCTGGTGGTGGGGGACATTGACGGCTCGGCGGTGGGACGCAGGGGACAGTTCAGAAAGGCGTCTCGAACGCGCGCTCATCGCTGGCTCGGGCTGCGAGTCGCTGCCAGCCTTTGAACGGCCAGGAGCAGAGTCTTCGGGCGGCCCGCGCTTTGGGCATCCCAATCGGGGGCGTTGTAGCTGGCCTGGCGCAGTCGCACTTGCGCCGCGACTGCAATGATGAACGGCACACGACGGAATCCATGCGACCCTCGGGCCATCGGCCCGCGGCCCCGCCCAACCACCCCATGTCTTTGGGAGTGGCTGGCATTGGAGTTCTTCTTCAAAACAGCCAGAGGGAGGTCGCTGCCCTCCCGCACAGATTCGCGCACTGGGGAATTAAGTTCTGTTCGCTTCAGCTTGGCATTCGGGGAATGATTCACAGGCCGACCAACCACAACACCGTAACACTTTTTTTGCATCCAGCCTGCAAGAG